TTTTTGTTCTGGCACTGATGATTTCAAACTTGAATTTATAAACACACACCAGAGTAGTGAAGCTCATGCCTGGGCTACCTGCATGGAAGCTGCCAGTACTGCTTCACCAGACACAGCTTCTACTGAGCAGATGTTGAAGAGCATGAACTCCTTAACATTAGGGAGAGTAGAAAATATTTTTAGAACATACCATGCTATGGCTAAATCTGGTTCTCCCCTTGTAGATCTTGATTAAATTTACAAATCAGATAAGCTTTAACATGACCCTTCACAGTTTTTCTCAGACTTATCCTTCTGAAGACTTCTCTACAGAGACAGAACAGATCCATTGCTGATTATTAATTGCACAAATCAGTCTTCCCATAACAAGTACTCTTACAGCCAGGATATGACCAATGTACTCCACAGTTTGAACCACTTTTCTTTCCCCCCGTAAAAATATTTTTGAAAGTTGTAATAAGAATGCTTTATCTTGAGTCTTTATCTAGGAGCTGAGAATAAGTATAGTTCAGAGAAGTATCTGATTTCATATTTTCATAATTCTACATATTCTAAATGCAACTTTCTACTTGATAATTTCCAATCAAGGTAAAGCATACCAGCAGAATATATTTTTACCATCAAAGAAAAAGCAATGATTTGTATCAAAAGATAGCTAAAATTAAATCATTAAGGACCCCTCTTACTTCTTCCAACAGTAATGAAGATGTACTAGAGATAATTTGGGAGAAATGAATGTGAGATCATTCACCTTTAAATCAACCCTTTTTCTGAATCAAGATCAACTCTTTCGCTGTAAAATGTGTGTAATAATAGCAGAAACTGCACAATACCATTCCATACCATACTATATCATGTAACTACACTATTTACACACACATATATATATATTTAGTGTTTTGCATATATCTAGTTCCAAATAGTATGTCAGAAATGGAGTAAGTTTTGAATGAGTGCCTTCTGAAGGGATTTTAGTCCATTCAGGAAGAGTTAATCTGTAGGGATCAGAAAAAGGATCAGTACTGTGAACTATACAGTGAATTATAGAAGATCCATCACTGAAATATGTTAATCTGTGATTTCTCAGACCAAAAAAAAAAAAGTAGTTTAGATATATTTTAAGTAAGAAGCAACAGGATATATATTGTACAAGGTACCTTATTAGATATGTGGCATTGCTGATGCTGCGGGTTTTCTCTTAAATCAGATAATGCCAAGAGGATTTTTTCCCCTCTTAAGTTTTCAAATGGGAAATTTTTAACTATGTTGAGATTAGAAAATGTGTTCCCAGAATGTCCAACAGCTGAAGACAAAAAAAAAGAAATAAAATCTGAAAGTGTATTTAGAATCTATAACACTGAAGTCACTTCCATGGTGCAGAGGGGCATGTTTTCTCATAATCTTGCTTTCAGCCATGAAACTAGGAGAATTCCTTCAACCTTGCCTCTTGGGACATATTTTCTAAGCCTGTGATGATTCTTGCTGCTTTCTTCTGGGCAGTCTTTAGTTTATGTACATCCTTGTAGATCTGCAAATTCCAAAATTGTATGCTAGCAGAAGCTTTAACATCTGGGAGAAGAAAAAAAAAAAGGATTATTTCCAATGTCTTTATGTGTACTTTCTGGTAATATTGTGATCTGCTGTAGTCCCTAGATACTTTTCTATACAAATTTTACTTTATCAGTAAGATTCCCATTGTGCTGTTTATGCAGTTCATTGTTTCAGCCCAGTGGGACACTTGATATTAATCCTTGTTAGATAGTGTCCTTTTATTCTAGACTGTATCTCCAACATGTAAAGCTCACTTTGAATTCTAATCCTATTATTCTCCAGTGTGCTTAAAATTCCTTCCTGAATTGTTTTATCTGTAGTGTAATAAATGCATCAGTTTGTCAATCTGTTTCCTCAAAGTACTTTGATGTGTTTCTGGTGAAATTTACTTACTGATCTTCATCATCTCTTGAGTCTTTCAAAATCTTCATGAATACTGATTCTTTTTCCACAGTGCTTGCTACCTCTTCTAATTAAAAATGTTTCTCGACATTTAATAATTTCGTTTTCTATTCATTCTCCTACATTATTCAACTAAAACTTACTGGGTTTGGTTTCTTTTATTTTGGGCTTAGCAAAAAGATTTTTATAAAGAGCATACCTGTTTTGAAACGAGTCCTGTTACGTGGACAAAGGCAATTCTGGGAATTGTTTTCCTTGTTCTTTCCTAGAAGACATTATTTACTTTTACCACTTGCAGAGTGCCATTTGCAGACACCGGTATTCTTTTCTCGGTACCATCTGTGTAGCTGCCCACTCTCAGGCATCTCTCCGTGATTATAAAGCATTAGCAGCTCTTGAACTGAAATGGTGAATCACCTTTCGTCTCAGATTATAATCAGATATTCAAAAGTGATTCCGTGCTCTGTAATATGTACCCAAATTCATTAAATCGAGACAAAATACCTGAAAACACAGTGAGGAAAGTATTTCTTATCTTTTTTTACATGTTTATGAGGGATTTCCTCTGTCTCTCTGAGACTTCCTCATCATTCCTCCTACATATGTCAGTAGGAGGAATTAAATCACAGTCCATTTGAAAGTTTTGAACTTTTATAACTTTGGAATTATCCTACATCAGATGTTTCAGGAGGAGGTAATAAAGTAAAAGAAATTGCGCTACAGCACATCAGCAATTCTATAATTAATAGATAGAAAATGGCTTAGCTCTGATTGAAAGAGGATGTGTTTCTTCACATTTCCCACACAGGAAGAAAAGTGGGTAGATACTGCAGATCACCTGGCAGAGCTTAAATATCTCACAGTAATTCATGTTTGCCATAATATGTACCTGAAAACTGCATTCTAGCATTTTCTATAATCCAGTCTAAGTTCTATGATTGTGAGTAACATTTTAGATTGCAATCCTATTTTGGACATTAGTTTTGATGCAATTCCTCTTAAAATTCTTTGTCTCTCAAATACTTTTTATGTATGTTTCTAAAGTCATGTAGCCTCATAAAAACTTAGATGAGGATCTTAGTATCCTTTTAGAATTTTATGCAGAAAAACAAAATTAAATTTCATTTCAGGAAACCATAAGCTTATAGGAAATACAGGAGCTACATTCTTTATTGGCATAGAGAGAAATCATATTAGGAGTTGAACTGTTGTGAGAAAAGTTAGATTGCCAGTAATCAGATGTGGAAAGGCAAATTTCAGCAAAAAATGCAATAAAAATTACCATAACTGCTCTCTTCATGGTAAAGCACTAGGAAAAAAATGAGACTGAAAGAAGATGTAAAACTTTTTCCTGTTGTTTTTTATGTGAAGTGTACACTGACTCCTTCATGGACCATAGACTATTCTCCCCATGAACCACTAAAATGTTACGTGGTTTATTGAATTACTTATGAAGTCACCCAGTAATGATGCTTTTGTTATGCAGGCTTTATTGTGCCATATGGAAATTATCTGATCCTTGTAGCATGAAGTTTTCAGGCTACAAATTTCTGGTTACCTTAAATTATTACATCATCAATCCAGAGTGCTTCAGTAAACAGCAAAGAGTTTTTTAGAAGATATTCCTTCTCAATGTCGATAACTCAAAAACTTTCACAAGGTGACATCAGAGCACTATTACCAGTCTGCCAGTATTTTTTCTGCAGCCTTTGCTTTCATGCTGAAATTGTGGTAGGATATATGGCTTCAAGTCCTTCCTTCTTCCTCTCCCAACAGAATTTAAGCTTCCCAAATCTGTTTTTTACCTCTTCTCTCCAAGCTTATATATGTGTAGGATTCCTCTGCTGTACTAAGATGTGCTGAAGGCATTAATCCTGTGTTTTCTGATTGGACATAAACAGAGACTGTAGACTATCAATTCAAATTGGCTACTGGATTTTGAATACTGACATTATGAAATTAATATTCAAACATTCTTAATTTTTCTACCAGTTACATCTTTTTTCATAAAGTTACATTTCACTCCACTGTTTTGCTTCCAACAAAAATGTCTCTTAGCCATAAAATGTGCACAGCTGTGCTTTTTCAAAAGGACAAGACTTTCGACTGGAAAAAGAAAAAAAAATAAGTAAGTCTTACCAGTATTTCACTGATTGTATACGCTTTTAAAGTTAATCTGAAGACTTCCAGTTTTGGTGCTGTGGAAGTGATCATAACCTGACCAAATCAGCTTTGTCTCTCAAAATTTAAATAATTTGAAACTTATTTTCCAGGTTTTTTTGTTAATGCAGAGGTTTTGCAGTGAATTCTCACTGAGCCAGCGAAGTCTGTTTCTGGAAGAAAAGACTTCTATCTGTCTGCTAAATTTTACATACATAATTTTGCATTTTAATACCGAGTATAACATTTAAAGTTTGCTTGCTCATAAGCAAATCCATGCCTATTTAAAAAAACAAATAGAACTTGTTAGACTTACCTGTCTAATGATTTCTATAAAATAAAATTAATGGAGCTATTTTTAACTCCTGCAAGTCAGTTCTGAAAAGCTTTTTAAACAGATCGATTTTGTTTCAAATTTCAACAGACAATGATCTGTGTTTCTTATCCTATTCTCTAACTTATGCATGCTTTAAAGTGTGGAGATAGATTTATGATTGATTAAAATAGAGGACAGTGGGGGAAAAGATTGGTAGGTATTCAACACACAGAAATCGTGTGATTGGTATTTTTGAACTGCTCATTAACTGTCAGTGTAGACTGTGTGAGGATGGATTAGCGATAACAATGCAGATCAGGACAAGTATCAAAAGAAATGCAATGCATTGGAATATTTTATATTTTGCTATTAGATAGGCCACACGGTTTATTTTAAATGAGGAAATTTTATGTTTGGCTTTGAAAATATTAGCATTATCAATAGTGCATAATAGCAAAACAAATAAGTTTCCCACATTGCTATTAAAATTAAAAAAAAACCAGATTTCCTTTAACAGAAGAAATCTATTTAAAATGCTAAATATATTTTTTGGTATTGACTTTTCTATTAGGTTTTATACGAAAGAAAGTATTTATTGACATTTTTAGTCGCTTGGTTAATTTGAATCGTGGAGTAAATTGCCTTCCTGATCGATGGATGAACTTAAAACTTCCAGATGTAAGTTAACCCCTGTTTTCTCTTCAACTGGAATATTGGTTTGTGCAATATTGTGCTATTGATGCAGCATTGTCCTTATTAAGATAAAATCAAGATTATAGTTATTATAGGACATTATCAGTTTTTCCTTAAAATTCTTCTGTTGCACTAGAGGATTCTGGAAGCTACTGCACCAGAAATAAAATGCTTTTGTCAGCAATATATTTATTTACAATTTTCAAATCATGGGTTTTTTTAGACACCATTGAAAATTCATTTCCAGGAGTTAAAATAACACTGTTTATGTTCTTCATTCCAGCACAGGAAATTAAAATCTGGAGCTGTATGACCTTAAACTTACTTATCTAAGATTTTCAGGTTTAGGGACATGAAAATTAGAATTTAATCTTTCCAAATCTTCCATACTGAATTGTCTGATTAATTTTACTTTCAGATGTTGCTGGTAGGCCTATTGAATGAAATTATTTACTTGTTTTAGCATGTTTTGATAGTTATTTCTTAGAGTAAACCATGATTCACATTTATATTTTTACTGGATTTCACATGTGGAAACAGCTTCATTCATATGTTCTTCACACAGATGAACTGCATGAGTAAAACATTTTAAAGTTTCCCAGTGGTGTATTTCCACTGAGTTTAGTGAAAACTAGCCACAGCTGTCATCATCAGTATATAAAAATCTAATCTTAGCACAGAAAATTAATTGTTTGGAGGAAACTACAAGTCAAATATTGTCTATTAATAGACCACATGTGCATATATCCCATGTTCTGTGTTCTTTGAGAACTTTTAGTGCTTATAAATGCTATTTTTATTTTAATAACTGAATTTTCTTTCTTTAAAAGCGCCATTTTAAAATGAGACTTTTAAATTTATAATGAAAGCAAGAACTTATTTACAAAAGGAAATGCATGAAGCATAAGCTAAGGTATATATTTATTTTGCACAAGCTATTCTGAGCTTAACTCACCATTTCATCATTGTGTGACTCACTAGAATCTCAGTAAATTTTCAATTAATAATAAGCGGCAGTGTTCCAACCAGTGTCAGCACAGATGACATGTACAGTGTTACCAAATTGTCTCACTGTGATGCCCCAGGGCATGTGTTCTTCCTGTGAACACATTCTTCTCAAACTCTGGACTGGAGCAACCCAGACACTTCCCTTGACAAGGAAATCTGGGTGTAGGGCAGAAAGTTGTGTAGAGGTGCATAGTAGGGTCTCATCATACCAGCAGTGCAGAAATGAACTGGACAGATTTGGTTTCCTTTGTCAAATACAGCCTTTTTAATGCTGCTCCTTTTAGGAGTGTTCTGTTTGTTTCTCCCTGTAACCAGCTCTGCAATGTCTTCATTGGTAAAAAGACACAAAGCATTTTTTCTACCACTGCTTTTTTCTAAGTGACAATAATGCTGGAGCAGAGAAAGCCACCTGGTCAACACCTCTAAGAGTAACAGGGCCAAGGCACAGGACCAAGGATTTGCTAGATTTTGTGCTCATGCTGCTGAATTGTCAGTTCAATTCTTGGTGCTCATGCAGACAGGACATGGTTCAGGGTTTCAGGATGATATCTCATAGGCAGTTTAGATACAGAGCCCTATTTGGGGAGTAAGAGTATTTATTTAGAGGGATATCAACTGACACACAGTGGCTTGTGGCCTGTTTTTCTACTGATACATGCCTTTTATATAACTGTGACATCTCTCTGCAGGACCTTGTCCTTCCTAGCCAGGAAAAGACCCAAGAATACACAGGATATTGAAAGAGTATGTTTGTATGTTTATACACACATATTTGACAATATTTATTATTCTGGTTTTATAGTTAGAAAATCTGGCATCTGCATTCTCAGTGAACGCAGAATTTACTGACTGGCGCAGATTCTTGGTAGCAGCAGCACAGCCTTGGCCAGTGCCATCTGTGACACAACTCCTCAAAACACTGCATAGCTTCAAGGCTGTTGATGTAGCTGGATCAGGCTTTGTTACAGAGGAATACTACTTGCAGGTTATAAACCTTTTCTCTTCTGAATCATGTTTTGTTTTGCTAAACTCTCTAAATTGAATGGTGTATTATCGGGTTTATTCACATTCAGAAACTCAGTCTGAATTTTAAATGTTTTTGGGTTTGAGGGTGCTTTCTGGTAAAAAGCGTTTTCAGGAAATGGATGGCCTAATGATGTCCATATTTCCACAAATCAAGCTTACTTTTTACTTTCATTTCCTAGTTTCACCATTAATTTAAAGTAAAAACCCTTTCGGTTTTAAAGAAACCTTTGTGTATGCACTTTGATGACTATTAGCTTATTTGACACTGAATAAGACAAAAAACTTGCTCAAGCAGAAATAAGGGTTTTAGTTTCAGCTCATCAGCTGTACTTAATTGAAACATTTCTAGATTTTTTTTTCCCATTAATTATTTCCTCAAATTAAGATTGTTTTTCAGACCTTGAGTACCTGGAAAATTATAAAATTCTTTGATCTTTTCTTTGAAGATAGAGTCTATTTGAATTGTCACATAGTTTAGTGAGATTTTTCAGCGAGCAAGTTTCATGAAGGAGTATTAAGAACACATTTTTCTTCTTTTAGAAAAATTCTGCTCATTAAATTTTCACTTACTTTTACTCTGCTTTCTTAATCATAATTAAAATGACTGCTGTTTCATTCTTTTAGTCCATACTAGCTATAAATATCAGCTAGTATGTGTCCATAGATATATGTGTATGTGTGTGCACGTATACACAGAAGATGTACAGTTCCGCCAGTTTGCATTTGTCTGTTGATATTAAAAATAATTTTCAAACTGTTTTAAATACATTTTATAGGACCTTTATTGCAATTTATTTTCCAATCACCTAGTGTTGATTTTCTTCAAAAACTAAATAAAGTCTGTGTTAGTTCAGAAGTCTGTCAGTTTCAGAACTACTTTGATTAATTTCTAGATTGTAGGGGTGCCTGCCAATGCCTACCCATCCCTGACTTGCAAAGAAACAAATTCTGCAAGGCCAAAAATCCCACAAAAAGTGCAGGTCTATCTGCACCTATTTTTCTATTGTGGTAATTTTTACTGAAGTGTGAGAGTTCAAAAATAAACTAACAGTTATAAGGCATGCAGACTGAGAATGTGCACAGGATCTTACAGTCTGTTCATGCCTATCCTGTTTTAGATCTAGTTGATATTTCCTAGTCTAGTATTATAGAATTGGTTCTGAGGACTTTTAATTACAGCTGTAGCTATAGCTCTGTAGGCATTAGAGGACATGCTCTGCAGGCATTACATTAGTTATCTTTTTGGGAGCAGGGCAAGCATGAGAAGAGCCATGACTCCATCCTTCATCCTGAATTGTGGACAGTTTCTTCTAAAAGTACAGTTCAGACAAAAGCTATGGAGGTAGCAAATGGTATCCTAAAAGGAGGAAACCAGAACATGCATAGAAACTCCACATCATATTTTGCTTTTTCGGCGGTGTAGTTTACCACTATGTATTTTCAAGAGCATAAATTCACTTCTCTCCTACCTAATTTTCAGTAATTTCTGAAGTATCTGTTATAAAGTACAAACAGCTACTTAGGAATTAAGCTCTTAGTAACCTGTCTGTTGAACAGTTAAAGACCACCTTATTTTAATGTGTGAAAATTAACAAACTTTTTTTTTTTAATCAGGTTGGCTTATGGTTTAATGGAGATGAAGATCTAAGCATAACAAAAAGTTGCACACAATCTGTGCCTTTAGATAGGCTAAAACACCTCATAAAGGTAACTAAAAACACAGGTTTTTTGAAGAGACCACTATTCAAACCTGAGAGGTCTCATACAAAAGTTTCTTGTGTCTTTTTTTTTCCATAATTGCTTCAATGTTTCAGTGTTTTTTGAGGTCAGGTGGTGCTTCAGAATAATGTAGAAAGGAATCTAAGAATTGTCCTACTAAAGTAGTCTGTTCAGAATTAATTATTTGTGCTCTTCGTTGAACAACATTAATTTTACTACACAGTAACCAGCTTTGTAAAGAATAGGAGGCAAATGATCACTGCATAGACGTTTCCATGAAAGAGGGAGCTAATAGTGTGACCTGAATACAAAAAATGCTTTGAACATGTTTGTCATGATAAACGATTTTATTAATTTTTCCATGTTCTGTGAAATTCAATTTCTGTTTCCTTGAATTACTTAAAACACACGATTTATCTGGATTTACACAGCATTAACATGCTTTTAAACACAGTATCTCTTATTAGGAGTAATTATTGTATTTCATCCTTTTCTCTACAGTCCTTGATTTATATTCCATTAAATTCCACTCATGGAAATTGGTTTACATATTTTTGTCCTTTTATAGTTTTTCTTCAGTTTATTTGCTGATACCAGAAAAGATCCTGCTGTGCTCGACTATACTGAGATGCTGCTTTATTTTGCCTCCCACTCTGATCCAGTTGAAGGTGTATACAGAGCACTTAGCATTGCTACTGGAACATATGTTCACAGAAGAAAGGAAGCCTCTCATCCGTGTGCGGTAAAGCATTACAGTAAATTACTAGAGAAAGTAGTAGTGCTTTCAGATTGTAAATTAGCTATATTTCTGTATATTCGCTTATCCTGGGTATCTCCAGTCCTTACAAATAATCTCATTGACTTCATGTGAACTCTGCAAATAGTTTACTGACTTTGGTAGTAATACTCAGAAGTATCCTTCCAAAAGTCTGCAAATTTGCTTGCCAAATAATAGTGAAAGTTTAAGATATTTACTGGTAATTACTCCTTGTACATAAGAATATAAGGTAATTCCTTGGCCTAGTCTTAGACCAGCAGTCAGTCCCCAGGAATTAGACTGTAGTGTGACTGTAGTGTTATCTATAGATGCAACACCTGATATTATTGCTGGTCTTACTTTATTTTCCACTGTGTTTCTTTGGGGTATTTAGAAGTAGATACACATTTGTTGTTATTTTAAAGTGTTTAGTTTTACCTGTAAACCAGAAGGATAAATTAGTTTCATACAAAATAATTTTTAAGTTATTTTTACAGCTGTGATGAATGTATTCTCACATCAAATGAAACTGGTCTTTTGAACATTTTTGGTATTTCTGGAGCATGTTTTTATTCTTAAAGTCTCAAAATTGCAATTAGTGCACTGCTTGCATCAGTTACTTATTATTGAAGTACAAATTATTTTTTTGAGACATACATTACTTATCTGTACACACCTTGGAAAGAACATACTGTTCCAGACAATAAAATGTTTCATTGCCCTGTCACAACCACAGTGACTGTAGAATTTGCCCGATACCTACAGTACAGTTGAGATCTCTAGAAACAGTAAAGAAAGGGCCTTATTTTACTACACAGTGTAATCATATACATAAGCATAATAACATTTTATCACTTCAAATGACAAAACATATTATACTTCCCTGTATTTTATTTGGCACAACAGAGTTTTTGTACATTAGAGAGAGGGAATAAGACAATTTCCTTTTCACACTTTATTGGAAGAAGTAGAGCACAGACTACTCCCAGTTAGATACTGTGGACCTGAACTTAGTTTCCCACATTTCAGTGGAAAGTTCTAACTCTCATCTCATTGGATATAAAGCTACACAACCTATTCTCCTCTTTACCAGTTTCTGCTGGGTTTGATCTGTTTGGTTGGAAGTTTTGTAATATATATCTACACTGGCATTACCACCTATGTGTCAACAATTTCTTTAGGCTCTGAGTCACAAGTGAAGGTGAACGTTTGCCTTCAACTTACAATTAACAACATATCTCTGAGCAGAAGGAGTTATATCCCATCTAACCTGAGAATTTCCTCATGCCTAATTTCCCACTCAAGGCATTGGCTCTGTGAATCGGTGCTGTGTCCTATGCACAGTGTATTATACAGACAGTTTGTGTGCCTAATTCATTTGGGGACCCTCTTAGAAACCTGGGAATATCTAAGAATTAAATGTTAAATCTTGCTTGTGTGGATTCTCTTTGACTTTAGAATTGTCTGTTTTAGGTTGGTACTCAGAATCACAGGACTGATAGAACATCATTTTAATATTTTCTTTCTTCTTATGCCTTGTGTTCCATCTTTGTGCACTTTCACAATAATGTTGAATACAGACAAAAGAGAACAAAGGAAATCCCATTCCATTGAAGCAAATTAGTTTTCTCCATTGGTTTTAGTAGAGGCAACATTTCATGCAAGTTGTTCCACAAACACAAGCGGGCAAAAATTAAATTGTGTATTGATATTGTGTCATGTTTGAGCCAAGCTCCATCAAATAGAGAGAATTCTGAAGGCATCCTAAGTGGTTTTCAGCACCAAATTAAGAACCTAAATCTTTGTTTCCCTGTGGGTGTTTACATGTGATCTAAATATCCCAGTTCTCACTACGAGTACTGGAAATTTAGTAAATATTATCAGTGGAATATTCATCAATGAAATATAAAGAGCTATGCTGTTCACCTCTAAGAAGTCTTCTAGTACAGTTTAGGTAGCTGGCTTATATGTAGGCACTTATACAGCTGCATCTCATTTGTCTCTTTTCTTTTTCTTGTTTCGTGCCAATAATTGTAATGACTTCTCATTGGTAACTGCCTACAGAAATGCATCTGAAACTTTAATGCTGTTAATAAGAAAAGCTCAGACAAACATATTCTTGAGACTTAAAGACCCTCTCACTTAAAATGTTTAACTTTTAAGTCTCGATAATGTTGTTGGCTATGAAAGTCTGAAAGCTAAATGTAAATGATACAGTGGGAGATAGAAAAACTTCAGTGCTGATATTTGTGTAATCTCAACTATTGCTTGTTAAAAAGGCTGTATAAATGACTCTGCTCCTCTTGTGTTCAAAATTACACGTATTAAGGCCTAAGGCACATAGCACAAGCGTGACTGAATCTCAGCAGTCTCTCCCTCCTAATGAGGAGAGAAATGGTTTGTTCAATTAAATGCAATTTCCTCCTGGTCTTAGCTGTTAGTCTACACAGTGGCATAATCTAGTCAAAGCATTGTTCACCTGTGTGGGATCCTTTCTCGTCTTTGTGCTCACAGATCTCTACAGCAGGTTTGGTTTTGGTTTTGTTTGGGCTTTTTTTCTCTTTGACCAGCCCTTATATCACCACAAAGCTAACTAGTTGCTTGTTTAAATAAAATTCTAAGTTTTCTGCATAAAACAGAAAATCTCATCTTTTTCTGTGGAGCTGCTGAGTCTATGTTAACTGTTGGCCAAAACAGAGTTCTTGCAGTGACTCCTTCATTTGCACTAGAAAATTCCTACTGTTTTTTTCATGTGAACATTCAGAATCCTCGAGTTTACTCCTTATATAAACACAAAGTTCTTGGTATTGTAATTTGTAGCTATTAAATATTTTTATGTTTTGTTGCTCTGAGAAATATTATTTTTTCTGTAAAATGTTGGCCACATTCATGGAAAAAGCTGTTTATTAAATTTCTGCTAATGCCAACATTATGGATATTTCTGGACTCTTAAGATCTATTCCTTCATCCTACAGTGCAGTAGATAATTTTGTGTGAGTTGATGATTTTTGTTTTGCAAGAACTTAAGCTTGAAGTGTAATCCATTGATCCTTAATGAATGTTTAACTGAAACAGGTGATCTGCTGACAGACTATTTGTCTCCAAGTATTATACATTAATTTTCTTAGGATTCTCCATACCCCAAAACATTGTCAAATGAGAAGACTTTAAAAGAAAATGAAAAAGAAGTCTTGAATTACACCGGTGAAGGAGTAATTTCAGTGGCAACTCTATTCAAAGTATTTCATACTGGAGGAAGAAAAGATCAAGATAATCATAGATTTAGCGATCTGGAGAAGGCAGGCAACTATGATGAGGTAGGCAGATTGATTCAAAGAAGGTTTTGTAGCTTGCATTATATGTTATATAAATACCTGCCATAATCTTTGCTTTTCCACCAATGTTTTAAACAATAAATTGGCTATGTATTATTTTTTCTTTAAGCATTTCATCAAAATATACAAAGAATTAGATATTGAAGATCTGACACCTATTCCGGTTGAACTCCTTTTGATTCACTCCTTCATGAAAGACTTGATCAACAGCTATCAAGGATATAAACTTCATGTGAGTATTGCTTTTTGGGACCAAGAACTTTGTAAGTATACATATTTGAATTGCGTTATCCTAGAAATGTAAATGTAATTTGTGTAGATGCTGCCAATTTGCAGTGTAGATCAGCTGTACAGCTGTAGGTTAGATCAGTTGTTTTCTTGTCCGTGAAAGACAACTTTCTGACCTATTTTTTGTACACATCTGGCTGGCCTGTAGCTGCCTACAGCCTTGTCACATCCATCATTTTCTACAGCCTTGTCACATCCAGCATTGCCTTTCTCCTTACCCATGGGAAGGATACTGGTTGTGTTATCTTCCCAACAGGATCATACTGCAGGACACTACAGGATATGTGATAGGTCATGTTACATCCCAGGCCAACTAGGCTTCAGAAAAGGGCATTCAGAGGTAGTAGAGGACCAAGTGTTCTTCCCTGCCATTCTCTAGAGCTTCCCTCTTACTTGCACCTATGCTTAAACATGCATTAAAACAGTTGCACATAAGGCAGGTTTGAGCCAGAGTATAACCCTATTTAATGTGTCAAACTATGGCAAAAATACACGATATATAGGGTCTAAGAAAATAGTGTGAGACAAGATGAAAGGACATTTGCATGCCTAGAGTTGAAATATAAACAGTCTTCACGGGTTTGAGATGATCACCACCAAGGGCACATAGCGTCCCACAAAATCTGAATAAGGTAAATTATACTTCAGGATTAACTTGTACATTTTTCTGAATTATGTTCATCACTTGTAGGATGTGAAGTGCGCGGCATTTATTATATCACTCATAATCGTTTTCAGTAAAAGATGAGATATAAGAATAAAAGAATACATTTACTCAGTCAAAGTGAGGGTTAAAAATTAATTTGCTATAATAGGAAGAGATAGAAAAGGAAAATGTAAGACAAAGACAACACAACTGAAGATTATAACTTTCAGTGGGTATCCTGCCTATGTTGACATCTCAGCCAGTTTGGGAAGACAGACACCATGGAATGTTAGGTCATTCCTCCCTTTCCTTCCTTATTCCTTCTTCCTGACCCTTTTAATTTATTTAGTACTTTGTTTTCTAATTTGAATTATTTTTCCATCCTCACTGAATTTCTTGTAGGCCAAAGCATTTCTTGAACCAGTTGTCTGTATGTGTTCCATCTCAAGAGTTGTTCTTCACACAAACACCTCACTGACTTTGTTACATTTAACATAATGCAACCTCTTCATGTAGACCAAATGTGATGCAACCTAAAATAATACTTAACTAAGGTGTAAACTGAGAAAAGCCATATCTATATGCTTGACTATTTACAGCAAGGGTGACTTTTTTTTTGAAATCTCTTCACACTAACCAAGAGCTGCAAATAAAAAGCACAGCATCTATTCTTTATTAAAATTTCCAGTCTTTCTTTACGACTTTTAGGAGGAACTGTTATATAGCTTAAAGAGTAGACTGTAGTACACATTGAAAATTTATTAGCTACCATTGATCACCTATGTTATTTCTGGCTGGTAGGATATATTCAGAGAACTTCAGTTATAAAAATTGTCACTCTGTGAGAAAAGCTGTAAGACAGTGTATATGAATCTTGGCAGTAGCTGAGGGTTTCAGTGTACATATTCTAGCCCAAAGGAGTTTTCACCTCGTTTATATGTTGGTATCATTGCACTTAAACAATACATTTTTCCACTTTTTTGGCAGGTTTGTTTGATGCCTGTATCTCCTGACTCAACAGTTAGGTGATGCAGAGCTTCAGTTCTCATTTGTAATACTTTAAAATGCTCTCTTGAAAAGGCTTATGCTGATTATCTCAAATACAGTACTCTACGGTTTCTATACTTAAACCAGAATATTTTATTCCTTGTTATTGTTAAATACAGACTGCTGTTTTATGCATGAAATCAACACTTCACAGTCTTACTTTCAAGTTCTGACTAACTGGTGAAGAGTTATAACCACAAGTTTTTAAATCAGGTTTACAAAAAAGTCTTATATTCATCAGCAAACAAGCATAGAGACCCAGGGACCGTTGTTATAAGTACATTACAATTCTGGTCTAAAACATATGAACTTCCAAGAGTCTTCCTCTGCCAATTCCATATTTGGGGAACAGGTAAACTTTTTTTCTTTCCAAGACATTGCTGAAGTAAGTAAACAATATTTTTACCAACAATTATTTCTTCAGAAATTCTCCTGAGAGATGTCTAAAAAAACAAAATTCAACCGCAATGCTGTTATTTTGAGATCATTTATAAGATAAATATAGCAAGTTAGGGTGTGGTTTCTAAAGTTAAAGTGTTTCTACTAATGCAGTCAGAAACATCAGAAAATAAAATCTTTTGCTGAAAGCTATAAGTGGGATACCTAGCTTACAATTTTTTTGAGTTAGGACACCTGATTCCTTTGGATCTTGATGATCTGTTTGATTTTAACCAATACTATCTCTCATAAAAATATTTTTTCAAGATGAGATATATTCTTGTCTTTTGAAGGGATTTTGTTTTCTCAGTTCAGGTACCAGTGGGTTGTCAACATCCTACATGATGATGACCTTTCTGACCTTTCAGCCTTAGTAAAAATATCAACAAAGAATAAGCTTGGAAATTCTATGACTTTTTCATCTGGTCTTTCCTGTCCTGATTACAAATCTTTCTGGTCCTGACTAGAGCTGTCAAGTGGTTTGCCATTATCAACACATATTTTTTCTGCTTATCACATGAAATTTGTTCCTTAAGAGTAGTTGGGTGACACCTATATATGTATGTTTATGAATACACTTCATTACATTCCAAATTAAATTTTCTTTAAATACCTTTGATAATAAATGAGACAATATTTTATTAGACCAACTGATTCAGGAGGAAGAAACAAGCGGTTCTGCCTTTTCCACCGCATGGGTTTGTCCATTTGTTTTGTTCAATTAAAGGGTCTTCTTCAGGCCCTATATTATTTATTGTTACAATTGTTCCATCTGTTCTGAGACTGTCACAGATACAGAACTAGAGAAACAATCACACATTTCAGTAACTCTGCATTTTGATTCCGATAAATTTAAAGGAAGAGCCTGGGATATATTCTGCTTCTATAATTTGTAATGCTTAGTGCAGTATCTGTTAATTTGAGTGGACTACTTTCTTATAATTACTGAGGATAACAAGGTAGCTTGATAATTAGAATTCAGTTTATTGATATAAAAATAGTATGCATTGGATAAATTATGTTACATGTTTTATCCTGCTTTCAAATCCTGAATAGTCCTTTTTAAAAAGCTCTGGCTTTGAAGATAGGGATATCGCACTGTCTTTCTATGCATCCATGTTTTGAATACATTTAACATAGGCCCTTGCATTATGCTTATTCCTTCTAAATTAATTATCATGTTATTGTTATTGTTGTTAATTCTGTTAATCATTTCGATAACATAACTCAGATATTTATTCAAATAGGAATTCCACGGAAATAAGATTTCTATTAATGTATAGTTAACATGTCTTTATCCAAAAGTTTTATTAGTGTGCTGAGGAATTATTACAAAACCTATTTATACTCACAGCAGCCATTTGATGTTACAAGACTCAACAAACATTCAGAACTCCACATATAACTTAACAAGTAATCTGTTCATACAGATTATATTCAGTACATCTTATGACCTGGACCATATAGTTCATAGTCAATGCTTTGACAGAAAAAAGCACTGCTGAATCACTGTCTAGTCATAGGCTGTAGTTGTAATACTTGTGAAACTTGAGAAGCTTTTTTCATGTGGTGTTTTAAATGTCTCAGTGTGCAAGAAAAGGAAAATTTAACACAGTGTTTAAATACCTAGTTTAAAGAGGAGACCTGTGTTATGCTTCTTTTTATCATGTATTTCATCCCTAAAAAATCTTGGAAAATGAAATGTACATGAACAATATAGTTTCTTACATTCAAAAAATATAAAAAAATTTATTTTGGAACAGTAAGTTTGCTTCATTAAGCACAAAGTAAATCAGTTGAACTACTGTATCTGCAGTGTTTTGACAGTATTTAAGATTACATTTGCTAATATTTAGTATTGTGGAACTGGAATTGAATCTCCCTTTTCTGACTCAATGTGCTGAAAAGGGCCTTCTACTGAAGTATTTCTTTGAGTCAAAGATAAACAGTAGTGCTGCCTTCTAAATCAAATGACTGGTAAAATTTTCTTTTAACATGTTTCTGCTGTATTCACTGAAATACTTCTGATGTTTTGCAAGCTTGTGAAGCATCATTTCCATACAGGCAGTTCTTGCTTTTGAAAAAAGGCTGTATCTTCAAAATATGCATGAAATATATATTGAACTATATATCTGAATTTAAACTAATTTATTTTATAAAAATTCTGGCTGTTAATTATTTTTCCAAAGGAAGAAATATGTTTACTGACAATATTGGAAAATTCTAATAAGTTAAATTACTATTTATCTCTGTACTGAACATTCAGCTTGGGGTTTTTTTTAAACCAAAAATTCCTTGTTCATCCGACTAAGGCAGTGAATAAAGTTGCTAAAATTGGAAATTGAGCAGATTGTGCTTATACAAAATTATTGAAAATTAACAAATTGAACAATAAAGAACTGAACACAAAATCAAACTAATGAGGGCATGTATTCTTCCAAATGTTAATTAATTATTTTCTTTTATATCCATTTCCTGGAATTGTTTAAGTTCAGCCTGAAATATGACATATGTGAAAAAAAAAAGAAACTTTATTGGAGAGTTTGTCTTTGTGTGTTCTGAATAACATTTACTGGTTTAAACAACAGTTTTAATACCTCTCTTTAGGTACATGTTTAAGCTGATGTTTAAGATCTCTGTTTACTTTAAGAATTGCATTTTAGCACATTGCAGTTTTGTAAAGCCACCAAAGGCAATGAGGTTCTGGGGATAATATGAAAACATCATCTCAGTGATATTAATACTTAAGCTGACTGACAGCATTGGTTTTAGTGCTCTTCTGGAAGAAAACTTCTGTAACCTGGGGAACATGTAACTTATCTCCTCTGAAGTCAGTTTTTCATCACAATCTTCTAGTCACTAGTTAGAAAACTCACCCCGTGGAAAGAAAGCTCACCCCAGGGTGTTATTATTACAAGTTTTAAGGTGGATCAGGCTGCAACATGGAATGACCTTTTAACATTTCTTTTTCCTTTTCATAGGACGTTAAAATCTTCCTCCAAAGACCTAAACAAGCACATCCTACTGATGGAGGGGAAAAAGCGTTAAAACATCATTAAAACATACATTAAAAACATCAATGTTTGAAAAACTGTTGTTCATGAACATTAAGAAATATTTTTTTAAGTTGGCAAGAAATGTGTCTTACATCTCCAGTCCTCTCTTCCATGAGTGAGGTTTTTTTGTTTATTGTTGTGAGAGCAAAATCCCATTGCAATTACACATTTTCTGTTACTTTAAATTTTAAAAAAACCAAAACCACCAACAGGAAAAGTTATGATTTGCTCATGTCAAATAGTCTAATGATATTTCTAAATCAAATTAAACCAATTTCTGAATGTAAATAGAGATGATAATGTGTTCATTAAGAGTTGGTTTAAGAAAAGGAGATGTCCAATTCTTCTAAGTAAACTAAGATATCTGCTCACTTTTTGTTATGTGTATAGTTTAATATTTAGTTAAGTAAATGTTGTAATCAATTCTTTAAAACATGTTGCAATTTGTAGCAAATAAAATAAGTAAATGAAAACACTGCTTTTTTAAAGATCAGCATCAACCACCAAAAGGGCATGAAAATGGGGTGCCTGTTGGCAGTGGAGATGATGACTCTTTGCTATTCAACCTTTCTATTTCTAACCTTCCACTACATCTCAGTTCTGCTGCCACATACTAAAAATCTACAGGCTTTTCCTCCACTGCAGCACCAGGCAGAGCCCAGTGGTGTGGGTGGCACAGGATCACCTCCCCTCACAGCATGTGGCACAGACATGCAGCAGCAGGGCAAGCAGCACACCATTTGTGGTTCCACCGCTAATTTTGCACATCACATCAGTGGCTACAAGAATAAGGGGAGTTCCACACCACTGTTTTCAGTAATTGACCAAGAGTCCTTTTTTTATTCACATGGTATATTCAAGGGCACCGTGTTCTCCAGACAAATGTTGCAGATTTTCATGTGTGACGCGTATTTGTCTAAAACTCTCTATGGCATACCATGACACCTAGAGGATGTTGCCTTCTCTGGCAGATTAAGCAGAGTCTTGGTCAAATGCTCTCATTTATGGCTGAAGTGGTTGTTTCTTCTTCTATATCAAGTGTGACTGTTACTGGTTTTTTTCTGGAATTGTTCTGGAATAGATTTCAAATAAATTTTCCTGTTGTTAGGATGTTTGTGTTTCAATGTAGTTTTATTCAACTTTTCCATTCTCTTGTGTCTGGTGATGGCTAACTGTAAAATGATAGGAACTAGTTTTTCATGGAACTTTGTGACATGCATTTCAGAACACTCCTGAATTAAAAATTGAGATATCTAATAAATCTTCAGTTTTCAGTGGTATTCATTCTTCTGATCTACCGTTTCGAGTTTTCTGAGGACTAAACATAGGAAACAGGTACCTGTGATTATCTGAACTCAGTATAGCATCTAATTTGTAGTCTGTCAACTGCCCAAGATGGTAGCTAACAGTGGGCATTCTACATTGTTTTACTAGCCTACAAATGTTATTAATAAGTAAATAATTCCAAGATGCCTGGTCATATCTGAACACTGCTTCTTCATTCTGGAGTATATTTTTTTTCTGGATTCAGCATTACCCTGGTAAGAATTGCACAAAATATTTAAAGGTTACTTTCCCTGATTTGATTCAGCAAAGCATTCAAGCATATGATGTTCTCTAAGAATACAAATAGTCCCACTGAAGTCACATAGGGAACCACAAACCTTTCCCCTTTGTTGAGAATGCCATCTGCAGAGAATGTTTTTTACATTTTTAATCTGTCTTTATTAGTTTTTAGCCAAGTATGTAGGATACTGTAGTACTTGCATAACAGTTGCTGATGTCCCTTATGAGGTTTCTAGATTGTCTTCTTGAAATGTAAAAAAATTATCTATTCAAAAAACAGTAGCAGCATACAAAAAAAAGATAAACTGGCATAGTTAAGGTTAGACAGTGACTAACAGACCAGATAAATAAATTTATCTGGTAGTAAATATTTTGTCAGATTCTTAGAACCTGATGTCAATAATGGTGGGTTTATTTCTTTGTTGATTAAAGAGAGTAAAATTCTGAAAGGAAAGTTAGTCTAGAGGTAGCAGATCAAAGCATTTATATGTGATATACTAATCTCAGAATAGAACCCAGTGAGATTATCATTTCAGGCAAATAATGTTGTATCTCTTCACTCTACCTATTTTGTCTAACCGCACCGGCACAGAAACAGATGTAACTTTGTTGTGCCCCCGCAAACCATGCTGAAACCTCAACATCCTCGTTTTACTTGTGACAACAGACTTTATGATGCGTACAAATTAATCTGCTTTGTTACCAGAATCATTTCTTCACATAACATGTACAACTTGGTCAAAATTTCGTCCCCAACATTTTTGAAAAATTATATCTATCTATCTATCTAAATTCATACAAGACTCTGGTTTTTTACTGCTCTTATGAAGATATTACATGGATAGAAAAGAATTGCAGTGCAGCTCTCTACCTTTTGCATGTTTCATAGTCTTTAAATTGTGCTTTTGTTCCAAATAAAACTAAAGAAGGCTAAGAAACTAACTAAATAGTTTCTTAGTGAAAGCCAGCTCTAATTAGTAAGTGTTAGATTCTGACTTGGCATGCTGGAGATCTCTATGTGAAAATAAAAAGGCATTATTTTCAGAAAGCTTGCCTACAGTCCATAAACCTGAATGACGGAAGAGGGAACTTCAGCTACTGGAAATCATAAATTTCTATTTAGGTAAGATTTTTCAGGTATTACTCCTTTGTCATACACTATTTATATATTTTACCTATGGCCTAGAATGGGACATAAAATCATTACTGATAAAGTTTGAAATTAAGTGCAGATTGTGCAGTGTCAAGTAATGAACAGTAAAGTGGATTCCAAGAAATGTCAAACTTCATGCACTGCTCACATACTCCTCTATGGGAAAAGGAAGGTATAATTTCAAAAGCAAAGGACATATCCCCTGACAATAACAACTTATTTTTGTCAACAATTACTACTTGAATATAACTGAGTATCACAATAGTTATTCAAGAGACTTGGAGTTCCCAGCCAAATGCTGGTACCCAGGCGTGAAAGAGGTTCTTGTTTTTATGAAGAGGGAATGCTGAGTAGATTTGCATTCAGATTTGGCAGTGGAGTTACTGTCATATCATGTTCAGTTTTCTTGTCTACAGTTCAAGCTGGATGTTGGAAACTGGAAAGTGTTCAGAGAATAATGTCAAGAATTATGGGAAATCATATTTTGTATAAGAAAATTCAAGGAACTTGGTCTTCTTACTTTATCAAAGGAGAATGTAATGGGGTTTCAGGTATCACTTTTACAAATTCCATGTGAGGCATCTTCAAAAATAACAGGCTTCAAAATAACAAGCAGATTTTTAATAGGAAGTAGATTGACTGCTGTAGCAACCAGCTAAACATGCCATTTTCCTCATCAGAGTTATAAAATCAAGATAGAGAATTCTTTTAGATCCAGGTTGTGACAGGAACTGAAAGAATAAATAACTGCATACTTGATGTTAAAATACATAATTAAAAACTAAACCTAAAAGACTAGTTTTGCTTTCAGTTAATTGTATGCAACGTGCTTGATCCTGTTTTCACAACCTGATATCTTTTAATGTTCTGTTTATTCTTTAACTTCACTTATGTCAGGTATTCTTGTGTATGCTGCATAGAAATGCTTGGATAGTTTGCTTTAGAAAAGCTTACATTATCAGTGTTCTTATAATAATTAAAATTACTTGTATTCCATCCCTGCAAAAATCTTCTTTCAAAAAATCCAGCAAACCAAGAGATTCTGCTGAATTAGGATATTTTCTACACTTCTATTAACTTGCATAAAATCTCAACATTTCATTCTGTAGAGAATTCAGGCTCCGTATTAGTCTGTTTCAGGGCTATGACCCATTCCTTTACATAAGTAAAACCCCTCAAGGCTCATTCCTCAGGAAGCAGAGTGTGGTACAGGGAGATGCAAAATCTTGCAAGCAACCAGAACACTTTTAAAGACAGTTTTGTTTTGGCTTGGTTTTGGGTTTTTTTGCTTTAAAATGAGGCTGTGTTATGTCACCTTGTCACCATAATAGCAAGAAAAGTTCCTCAATCTGCTCTGTGGTCCTTACCTCAAAATTTCCACTGAGCGTGAGGTTCAGACATGGTTTGTTTTTGTATTCTTCATAAGTGAAGACAGCTGTTTCATTAAAAACCTCTTAGGTCTGCTGAATTTTCTTAATGTGTGAAGACAGCTAAAGGGAATTTCTCCAAATCGTTGAAAGAAGCATAGAATGATAGATATGATCTAAAAATCAAGCATACTGCACAGACTTCTTTGCAGTATTATAGTTATGAAATTAAAGGAGTATCAATCTGAAAAAATCAAAATATGTAATACAGTTCACTTTATCAGTAAAAATTACCTGTGTTGATACTATTTTTATTACCTCTGATAGATTCTTTAACAAATACTCTTATTTGTAAGTAGAAAAGCAATTGCATTTAATTCTCAGTTTTGCAAAATGTCCTTGACAGTGGGAAATAAAATATTTTCTGTTTGTTTTTAAATATTATGTGTAATGAAAGTTCTGCAGTTCAACACCTTATTGTAGGACATCCCTGAAGATTCAAGTAGGAAGGTGCAAAAGGCTTTCCCTCTGAAACGAGTAAGCTCTCACAATATAAATGCTGGGGGGATTTCTAGCTCTGCTGGAAAGCTCTGCTAGCAGCTCTGCTGGAAAGGGGATGTTGGTGGACTTCAAGCTGAACTTGAGCCCTGGGAGCAAAGAGCAATCTTGGCAGGTATCAACCAGAGCACAACTAGGAGTAGATTGAGAAAAGTCCTTATATTCAAGCAGTTAGCATTCATCATGTTTACAGTGTGTGTCCAGTTCTGGACCTCCCAGTACCAGAAAGACATCGACACTTACATTCAGGACTTCTCATTTACATTCAAGACGTTACATTCAAGACCTTTCAGTGTCATGGCTTCAGTAGCAATGCTTTGGACATCCTTACCCTTCAGAACATCAGAGCTTTGACTTAGTAATACAAGGCTTGACAAGCTTCTAGCTCATGTCCTTGCTACATTAACATAAGAAAAGTGGGTGCCTGTATTTTGAGAAAAACTTGTACTTATCTTGCACTGTGAATGTCATACCTGTTAAATAAAAAGTAGTAATAGTACCTGTCAGTAACAAAGAATGTGCCCACGCACAATTCATAGTTCAA